AGAAGGAGAAGGGTTGACGAGAAAGGGAAAATGTGGAAGATGAGATAAAGAAAAGTAATAAAAAACTATGAGAAAAGAGAGAGAAAGAAAAATAATAAGAAAATTAGAGAAAGATAGTAGTGAATTGTTGATGTGGCATTTTTATAGATTTATGTATTTTTTTAAGTGTTAGAGAATTAAATGGAATAAATTAGTGGCATTAGGCATTGAAAAATAAACAGAAGAGGGACTGATTTTGAAGTTGAAAAGTGATTTGGGGAATTAGTGGGAAGAAATTTTTTATTTTCCCCTATTTTCCCTTTTTATTTATTTATTATCCCAAATGAAGCCATGGTATTCAGTTTCAACTTTTCGAGACTTTTTAAAACTTTCAGAATTTTGGTGTATTCAATTAGAACTTTTAGAGACTTTTGAAAAGTTTCCATGTATTCAATTAAGACTTTTAAAGATATTTTATAAGTCTCTAAAAGTCTCAAGGTATTCAATTAAAACTTTCTGAGAGTCTCTATAAGGACCATGTATTCAAAATAGAAAGACTTTATAAGACTTTTTAAATTGTAAGACTTTTAGAGACTTTTCTAACAAAATAAAGAGAAAGTCCCACAGAATTCTCATCAATATTGGTGAGATTTTGCTGGACTTATGTGACTTTCTTCACGCTCTCTTTTTTTTTTTCTTTATAACATGACTTTGTATCTCATATCACTTTAATGTTCTATTATTTTACTCATTTATTTTGATACCTTGTATAATTTTTATTTTCATTACATATATTTAACGTGATCTTGATTTTATATATTTTTAATTATGGTTATTTATGTATGTATACCTTTATTCTCTCATTTTGCTATCTTGTGAATTTGACTTTTCAAAGGTGCTTCCATAGTTTTCACTTGCAAATAATTTATTTATTCTCTCTTTTTATTTGTTATGTTTATTTTTAAATATTAAAAAATTATTTTATTTTCTAATAGTTTATTTATTTATTTTTTTTCCCGAAACGATAGAGGTATTATATTAAGAAAAACCGCACAAAGTGCGAAGAAAAGGCAGCCAAAGGCTGAATAGTACAACCAGAGACTAGAAAACTGGGAGGCAGATCCAGAGATCGCCTAGAGCCGACCCCAACGGGGTAATACTCGAGCAACACGCACGAAAACAACGAAAAACACAACCACACGAAACGAACTACACCAACAAAACTAAACAAGACCCCCAACGGAGTAATACCCGAGTGTCGAACCCCCACAGAGTAATAAATTTGACACTCGGGCTCACAGGGGCGAACGGCCCAAACCTAAAACACTGACAACACAAACAATAGCAAACAACGCAACACACAAACAAAAACTACAAATAAACATAAACCTAAACACGAAGCCTCCCTCAACAGAAACGTTCGAAGAAGACAGCAGACCAAGCCAGCTCTGAAGGGAGCTCCAAAGCTCTAGTACCTCGCCCGCCACTGCAGAAGGCCTAGCAAGACGAAGACTATAGTCTCAGAACAAACCAAAGAAACTGACCCGCGCACCGACCGCAAGAAATCACAATCGCCCCCCAACCGGCTAACACCACTAGCCTACCCGGAACCGTCCCGAAATTGCCTAACACCACTAGCCAACTCCGAAACAGATGGCCTCCCACAAACTCAGAAGCTGAGAAAGAGGAGGAAGGGGACGAACGACTACAAATATCAATAGTTTATTTATTGATATTGAACTATTTTGAATATTATTAATAACTTTATAAAATACAATTACCGTTCTTCGACAATGTTTGTATCTTCCATAGTTCGACTCGTTGAAGCTTAGATTGATTTGCTCGTTTAATAAATATAAAATCCTAAACAATTTGTTTGTAAATAACTCATTCGCATAACAATGAGTTGATTCATAAATTTTTAGAGGATTAATATATAAAACATTTTTATTTCATTTATTCTTCTTGGTATTAGTTATTATGTTAATTTATTAATGTTTCATTCAAACATCTATACTATTATAAAAGGACGAGTGATTTTGTAAAAATAATATCTGCCTAAAAAAACCCTTACTTTGACATATTTTTAATGACAAATTAGTAATACTGTAATATCCATCTTATTTTATATTGTTAATTAACAAATGAACTACCTAAGAAACTCTTACTTTGACTTATTTTTAATGGTAAATTAGTAATACATTAATACTCATCGTATCTTCTATTTTTAATCAATAATTAATATTTAGTTAAATAAATATAGATACACGAACAAAACATTCTAGATCTCCTAAAATTCAACCTCAACATTCTCATACCATTATTCCTCTCGAATTTGTTTCTTTCACATATCTATCAAAATGCTTCTTTCATATCTCAAAAAAATCAACAAAGATACATAATTGATATTTTGAAAAATAATTTATTTTTAATATAATTTTAATGTAAAATCGTAATTACTTTAATTAATAACAAAAACTACTACATGAAATTAAGTTTCAAAAAAATTGCTATACTGCAATAAAAAATACAACGGTCAGACATTCCACTGAAAATCGCAACGAATATTCATTGGTATAGCGAATATATACATAATATAACAAACTAAAAAAGTGGATCAATTCATTTAGCTACTTCCCATTAAGAAAAATACGCTCTTACATTTAGAAATTGCACCTTTTATTTATTGAATTGAATTTTTATCCCACAAAAAACGTTATTTATTTGTTTGTTTGATTATTTTTTTCCAATTTTTGTCACAAATGCAATAAAGTTAACGAATTTTCACCTGACCATTAGATGAAGACCATATGAAAGACCAATATAAAGTACAAAAATATTAAATTTGCCAAATATTATAAAAAATAAATTAAGTTGTCATACTTACTAATAAATATGAAAAGAAGTAATAAATAAAAATGTTACAATTAATAAAAATAAACATAAAACTTTTAAAATTGTACTTATCGGTGCAAACGAACTGAATTGTTCAATGCTTGTTAATTTTTTGTGCTTTAGTTCTATGTGTAAGTTTTAAGTGATAGACAATAGTTATTTGTACTTTTATCCATGTAGGTTAGAACTTTTATGGTTTAGAAAAAAATTATTATTTTAATTTTAAATAACCTTTTATTTTCTTTTTTTTTTTAATATAATATGTAAATATCATATTACATATATCAAATAATAATTATTTTTATAATTTAATATTAAGAAATTCAACTCAACTGAAAAATTAATAGGTAATTTTGAGATAAAATAATGAGTGATTTTAAAAAAATATATGGACTAAAAAGTTCATGTGTTAAATATATTTTTAATAGAAAAAAATGTAGGTATTCCACTGAAAATTGCAATGAATATTTCATTGGTGTAGTGTTCATTGGAAAATTTTATTGTCTATTTCAATAGAGGTCAAATTAAATTACATTTAAATTTTTGTTGATTTAATGATTATAATTACCACTATTTATTATTGTGTG